AAAAGAATACTTAGATAAAACGAATCAAAGTTTAGGCGTGGGGTGCTAAACCGTCAATTCTACGTATAAAATGTACATAGAAGTGACGTCACGCATTTCAAATCAATATATCGTCGAAAGTATTAGTTTTTGTAAGAAAATAAAAAATAAATAAAAAACCAGACGGACATCAAAATAGAAATTAGGCATCTACCCTATTACATTGTAGGTACTCAACGAAAATATAATTACACGTTTTATATGATACATTTTTCAGAAATTTAGATTTAATTTTATTTTTGCTACCTAATTGCAAGACGTTCGTAATTACACGGACTTTAGAACTGTGCTTGGTGCACTACAACCCTTTGTGCACCTCGAACTACCCCTTCGGATACCAACAGTCGTGACGTCACATTACACATCGTTTTTTTAAGGGGGGGGAAATCATCGAATGACTGCACCTGCCTGGGTGAGTCGGAGGGATTGTCAGACTCTTACTGACTAAAAACCACCCCGTTCCTTCTCCTGCACGTCGAGTCGGAGCCCCGGTAACCCGTTAGGTTCTCCGCGTCTCCGAATCGGCCTCAGCCCTGTTGGGTCCCATCTGTGGTGGTCTGTAGCTACATTACACATCTTTGGAGAACAATCTAAAGCAGTTTCTTGTTGTAAAGCACATATTTAAAATATGTTTAGTATAATGTATTTACTGTATATGTATAACGTTGTTATCCTTCATATTACATATCAACAATCCATTGGAAATATTCTAGTCATTAATAAAACTGTACAGGATTAATTTACAATAAAAAATGTTAATTAAAACATGCTTAAGATTGTTTTAATTGTAAGTATTATCTTGTTATAGCTTAATTAAATAGGAATTGAATATCTATATCATAACATAACATAACATCACGCCTTTTATCCCCGAAGGGGTAAGCAGAGGTGTATATTATGCCACTGTACAATGTAACACCCACTTTTCACTATTTATGTTATGAGTCCCATGTAATAGGGGGCGAGCCTATTGCCATATACCGGGCACAATTCCAAACTCCGTGCTACCACTGTGAATTATTTGAAAAACCCAGTAATACATTGCCCTACCCGGGAACCGAACCCGAGACCCCTTGCCCTGCAGTCGCACTTGCGACCACTCGGTCAATGAGGCAGTCATATTCTATAATATCTAGGTATATTCTAATATTATGGTGTATTTCTATTCATCATCAACTGTTCTGCTAACCTTTTTTTATACTAGATAGGTCGACGTTTGGCCACCATCTGGCCTGTTGGTAAGCGATGCCGACGATAGAGCACGGATACCTATGAGCAACCTGGTCACTCGGGACTTGAAGACACCCAAGTTATATTTGTCGAACACATTTATTATTTATACCACAGAACATATAAAATTTATACTATATCAAAAACATTTCAGTGTATGATATGCGAAGCGTGATATTACGTCTTTTATTCTCCGAACAGACTATTATATTATCGATAATCGAAATTCGAGCCGATATCAAGGATCGATTGAAATCGAGTCCCCTTATATCTAAACCATCGCTAATCAAATAAATACTTAAGTCAGATCAGTAGAAGTGTCACCATTAGGTAGGTACTTTGTAAAATAATTTACTTAGTACACCTGCAAAATACACAATATCTACTATTATCAATTTATCAATCCCGGAACTTTCTGATATGAATTATGACTAAATCAACCTTAATAATGCCTTCGAAAGGCATTTACTTACTAAATACCTTTTTATACGACGACGGTGGCAAGAAAAGCACACGGCCCACCTGATGGTAGGATATATAGATATATGTACCTATATATATACTTATCAGTCGACTTTAGAGATATTGTACCAAGTTCAATAGAAAGTTACTTCGTTTTAAAGCCTCGCGAACGAAGTGCAGGAGTAGGAACGGGGTCGGTTTTTAGTCGGTAAGTCTGACAATGCCTCTCGCCTCTCCCGGGCGGGAGAATGATTCGATGATTTTCCCACTTCATAAAAAGGTAACTTGTCATACAACTCTTGGTATTACAGAGTTTTTTGTTTACGACTAAATTGTCTTTCTTAATACAACTTAGAATTGTTTAATCTCCAGGCTCCTTCTTTTTGAGGAGGGAAAATTATCGAATGGCTTCTCTCGCCCGCGTGAGGTGAGAGGGAGTGTCAGACTCTTACTGACTAAAAACCACCCCGTTCCTAATTCTGCTCTTCGAGCTGGAGCCCCGGCAACCCGTTAAGTCTTTTGCGGCTCTGTATATCCAGGCTTCCTAGTTCTATTACCTAGAGGTCCATTTCCCATTTAATAACTCCGAGTACCTACTATTTTCCAAAGTCTCTTTAAAAAATTAAAAAATTCGAAGTACATCGAAAAAATATTGGTTTTAAAAAAAATTGTAAGTATTGGAAAAATCAAGCAGACAGTTGAAAAAAAAAACACATTTAAGTGGAATAACTTTGAATGGGTTAAATTAAAAAAAATAACCATTTTTTCATGCCAATACCTAACACAGCATGCGAGCTTGGACGCGGTACTAACGTTACTTATAGAATACTTAGGACCAGCACTCGCCCTTTAGACGAGATTGACCTACATTTTGACCTTTTACACCACACCCAAACCTATTGATGGTGATTGGTGTAACCTTTATACCTACTTATTAATCTGGTTAACACAATCATTCATAGGGCAACGTTTCCCGAATCGCGATCTGTAACAGCGAAAGTCTTAAAAAGGGATAAATACCCACGGCCTCACAGAAAACCGACGTGAAGCAACGCTTGCGTTATGTTTCGTCGTGTGAGTGAGGTTACCGGAAAGCCAATTACCCTCCCCTTTCCCAATCTCCCCAATCCCTGAATCCACAATGATCCTCAAACTCCTAATCTCCAAAAGGCCGGTAAAGCACTTGTAACGCCTCTGGTGTTCCAGGTGTCTATGAGCAACGCCGATTGCTTACTATCAGGTGATCCGTCTGCTCGTTCACCGGCTTATGCATTAAGAAAAAAACCCAGTCCGTTGTCTTTGAGTTAGGTTATTATAGACAAAGGATTGTTCCCGTAAGCGTACCCCTTAACATTTAGGACAATTATCTGCATATTTTTTTTACTAGTAGGTATCTAACAATAAGTTCTAAAGAATGAATTTCATTATAAAGCGCAAGGCACAAAGCTATGAAATATATATTGAAAATGATCTACAAGCTATCTGCTGTAGATAGAAGACACATTGCTATAAGAATTTTAAAAGAATCTTCAATTGATAAAGTGTAAATCTGTATAGTAAGAAGGTAAGTAACTACTTACTTTGACTATAAAAATCTATTTCTCCCTTTGGATAATACATAGGTACTTTCGTGAATGAAAATTACCTACCTCTAGGTTCTTGTGAAATTATGAATCATTAATCCTTATGTAGCTATCAGTAAAATTACCTACCTACTTCTTAAAATTGAGTAACGACTTTGCAACTTCCTTATTACCTACTAAATTTTTTTATTTACATTTAATTTTCCTTAATTTTATCTAAAATGCATCAATATCGCCAACTAAACAAATGTGTATGTTGCGTATCACAGTAAGTATAAAAGATAGTCAGTTTTAGTTTATTTCACGTTGCCTACATTGAGACATACAATAACCGAATGACATGGCTTTATTACGGTAGGTACATGATTCACATCAAGCATCAGATCGATAAATTTGTTTGCGCGGCCTAAAAATAACATTCGATCATCATTTAGTGGTCTAGCAATTTACACAGAAACGAGGTGAAGCCTGACGGTATGTTATGTGTACATCTACAAAACCAGTCATAGTCTAGGTATGTTCTTGTCAGTGCCACGAATTTTTTTTCTTCTGAGTGATGTGATGTCATCTTACGTTTTTCAAGTCAAACGCTGTTTTTGTTTAATTATAAAGTGTGTTCTTTTAAAGCAACTTCATTGTTGATTCATAATAGGTAATATTGGTTCTCGAACCGTGAAACGTAGTGACTGACATGTACTCGTAAATATAGTGTAGGTAGTGCGTGGCATGAAAACCGTTGCTGAACGTTAATAACCGTTGTTTTAATTAGTTGTACTTGTAGTATACGGTAATAGCTATATTTATACAAATTATCTATACTAGTTGTTGGCTTTAATTTTTATTTTTTCGGTAATACTAGGCGGTAAAAGACTCGGTGAGAAACTATTTTATTATACTTTGACATTACATTTTCTTTTGTTTTATTAGTAACCCCTCTGACGTTGCAATTATCAATGGGTTTCGACGATATCTAAAAAAATTCAATGTAGCACAAACGATAATAATATTACAAGACTTAAATCAATTGAATATCTCATCAATATTTCGTTATAGTACTTAAATTCAAAGTGTTGAGACAATAACTAGGCAATTAAGTAACAAATCAAAATTTCCAAAAAAGTAAGTAGTGCCTAACTTCGTAGTCTTTTCCATTTATTAGCCATTACCTTAGATTACAAGTAACTTTTATAACAAATAAATTAATATGGTCATTATAAATTTAAATACCACATAGACGATATTGCACGACTAGTATCAAAGTATCAAATTAGTTAAATAAATAATAATAATCTAAATATATTACACTACAGCCATCCTGGGCCCCATTAAATTGATGAACGGAGACCATAGTATTTCCATGGTTACCGATTTACCATGACTATGATAGCCACCCACACCCCCAAGTTATTTTCTACTATATTTCACAATAGTGTTCCGTTAACGTACGCTCTTTGTACATACATACGAGGATGACGCCTAATAACCCATTACATTTAGATTAAAATTCTTCATGGGCCTCTCCGAGTTAGCTTCGGGCCCTTGAATACTATCAAATGGTCCGGGACCTTGTGGTCCCGTAAAGGACATTGACATCGTTGTTTTACCTTATAAAACGAAAAGATATAGCCACATTAATTAAAACTGCATACTGTCATGTCATGAACTTAATGTATCTATATATTCCAGTTTATCATCATGCCGCTATTAGTGCTTGAAGGATGTCTCCTTCAAGCACTAATAGCGGCATGATACTAATAGCGATATGAATGAATTACATGAAGACATTAGTACATTTAAAACTTTAAAAACATTAATTTTCGTTGATAATATAGCCATTCAAGATACAAAGATTTTTATGAAGAATAACTTTGTTTTAAATTCACTACCTGAAAATGAAGAAAACGAAAAGTACCTCATGGGTCTATTGAAGTATGGACCAAAAATCATTAAATGGCTCGATGAGGATTTTATATTCAAGAAGATATTGTCGGCAATAGAAAAAAAAAATTTGCTTGCGCAATAGAATATATTTAGAAATGTTCGCCTGTTACATATTATGGGGTAACAGTGAAGTGGAACAACTCCAAAGACTTAAAAAAATTGAACCGGCACTAGAGAAAGCCTTTCGCTCGTGGCACATAACATTTTCGGGTGAATTTAATATTCAATACAATTGTTTTAAATTCCTTTCGTTTTTAGTTTATCATTTCCGAAACATTGTTGTTTTTAATGAGAAATCTATACCCGTCAAATTGTTTAAATAAATAATATACTAGAAAATGGTCTGCCGTTATTGGAAAAATATGTATTAAGTACCAGTTGGAAACTTACTATCGCATATTTGGAGCTCATGGAAGAATATGTGTCTAAAATAAGAATCAAAACTTTGACTGATCCTATAGAATATCACGATAATTTGGAGTATGATTGGCATAGAAGAGAAGCATACAGTTTCGCCAGGAAAGGAATTTTTGGAGTGAAATAGTAAAGTAATATACCATTGCTGTGTCCAATTATTGTAGATTGTCTAAAATAAGATATTGTAATATATGGCAGTATAGTATCTAGTCAGTTCGCTGCAACGCTTCGAAAAATGTTTGAATTACTATGGTTAGATGAGAGGAATGATGAAATTTTGGAATACATGTCGAATCAGGATTTCGTTCCCTGTCAATTAGTTGTTACTGTCAAATTAACAATAAATACTGTACACATCTAAAGACGTATTTTTTTTAAATTGGGTTTTCAGATAAATAATATTTACGTAATTTTTGTATCATTTATATTCTAAAATTTTTGCAGGTACCTGTACCTACCTGCATTGTAGAAGTGCTTACAATATAGTTATTATCACGGCCGTATTATTTATTTACCTGATTTAATTATTGACTTTGTTGTATTCGCGCATTATTTATTTATTCTTAATATTTGGCTAAATTTGGATAAACAAAAAGTAATAACGGCTAAGTTTCCTTAGTACTCTTTATAACTAGTTATAGTTGCCGTTTTAAATTGAACTTCCCTAGTACAAGAAACGTCAAGCAAGACAAATAAATCTGCTGTCAGACTAGTCGAATGAGCAATGAAATGAGTAAAGCAGTCGAAATTTGTATTCTTGGTGAAGGTGATAAAGTATAAAATTGCTAAACCTATGTAATGTTTGTGTTTATCAAAACATACCGGCCACCCACCGACCCCCTGCCGCAGTATGAGTCACTTGATTGTGTCTTGAATTTGGGATTTCAACATTTTTTGTAATCTAGCTCGCACCTAGCGGGCAGCTAGTCAATCAGTACAGCTTTGTCTGTTCTATTGATAAGTTCAGTGCCGTAATATTTATAGAGGAGCGTTGTCAAACACCGGTAAGTACATACATTAGCTTTATTTTTTTTATTACCTTTAAGTTACAGACCTGGTACAGATGATAAACTATCCTGTGATACAGAATTTATTATCTATGATACAGAATAAACAAAACCTTATTTCTGTGTTAGGTACCTATAAACTCAAGCCATTCTAATTACTTACATAATAGTTACTACAATTGCCTAGGTATCTAGATATTGTAGATTTACCGTAACCTGAAGTCTTCCATAGGTACAAACAATACAAGGATTTTAATTTAATTGAGGCCATGATATTGAAAAATGTATGTGAAAAATTGAATATGTTGTACAAGATATTCAAATAATATATATTCCGGAGTTCAACAATGTGTTCCCTGATTAGTTTAGTATTAATTAGTTTGATGACATTGTTGATCAAATAACATACATCAAGTACCTACATTTTTAGTTGGAAATTATACCTAATATTGTGAAACTTTTGGCAATAAACAACAAGCCTGTGAGCTACAATTTCAAATATCTTCTAATGTTTAGCAGTATTTAAGCATTGAGTAAATATTATCCCATGTCATTTCCATTTTCACAAACATAAACTTCTTGCTCGAGATAACTATAATTTTAAAAACTATTGCCACACCAAATGGTTTCTAATAGTTAGGTACTTTACCTCACCCGGGTATCAAACCTAAGCTTGTCAAGTGACTATCACCAATTGCATAATTTGTGACATCTAGTGAAAAGTGCTGCATACTTTTAATTATGCTTGAATTACCTCATTGTATTAAAAATAGATGCTATGATTTAATAATATGTAAATACGCTTTTAGTCTATATTTACTTAAACCATAATTCTAGATTCTGAAGGTAATTCTTCACCAATTAAATTATTATTAATACTTTACACAACTTGAGAATCATATAGACCCTAACGGGCTACTGGGGCTCCTGCTCGACGTGCAGGAGAAGGAACGGGGTGGTTTTTAGTCAGTAAGAGTCTGACACTCCCTCTCGCCTCACCCAGGCGGGAGCAGTCATTCGATGATTTTTCCAGCACTGCATTACCAGTTGCATAAGTTGTGACATCTAATGTAAATAAGTCTTTTATAAACTACATACATAACATCATACCTTTTATCCACAAAGGGGTAGGCAGAGGTGCAAGCACATTCCGACACTTAATGCCACTGTACAATGTGACACCCACTTTTCACTATGTTTTAAAAAACCAACTTCAACTCCCTCTTTTTACTCTTTTGAAGTCTGTAAATTGATACACTAAAACCTTCTCATTGTTACACACAAACCCTTTTTTGAAAACCACATCAAAATTGCTTCAGCCAATCATGATATAATAAACATACATACAGTTCATACTGAGATCCTCTTTTTTTCTTTTTGAGGTAAATATGGCGTAATAGTTAATATTTTTTATTATGCTAGTGTTGTTCTTATAATTTAAAATGAAAATGTTAAAGGAATAAAGTCTATTCTAATTAACTCGTCGAGTACTTACCGGTTTTGTAGATACAATTATAGAACAATAGGTTGCGGTCACCGGTGACCGCTTGGTGTTTGACAGTTTAACTGACTATTATTGTTAATTTATGAGTTAAATCCAATACTTTTATTTTGTTATGGCAACTGAGTCTCCAGTATTAACCCATATATCCCCAAGCGGTCACCGGTGACCGTTCTCCACTAACTACATTATAGACCTTATTTCCAATGTTTAGAGACTACTTTTGTATGAACAAATTTAGGGGATGATTTGTAGTAGACTATTCTCATTCTGTTAGTGTATATGGATGGAGCAATACTTTTTTAAAATACCAGAAATAAATATCATTATTTATCTATTCTAATAATTACATACAT